ACTAACACGCGCGTGGGTAAATCGTCACGTACGCTGACGGTTTATGGTCTGGTTGCTATATGGTTTTTGTGACGTTCAGCGTGTAGGGACGCACGTGCGCCTAGAATGTCGATGCCAGAGTTATTATAACCCTTGATGTTCCGAGATTTGCGTCCTTCTGTTTAATTGCCTTGGCATAGCCAATCATTTACAAATTAAAATACAACGCAATTAATCTAATTCTAATTAAAAGTAAAACTTGTTTATGACCTTGACCTTGAAATCATGTACGCGCACAAGAAAAGAAAATCTCGCTTTTGTTGCTTTGGCATTTACGTACGACGTAACGTGCGCAGTAAGTCACCGAGTTGGAAAATTATAATACAAATCATTTGTAAAACTTGTATATGACCTTGACCTTGTAGTATTAGCAATATGCAACATTCTAAAATATGTTTATTTATCCATTAAAAGTTATAACATAGTTTAATTTTTTTTAAAGTTATTTTAAAGTGCGACAGACTTTATTACAAAGTGCGACAGCTTTGCGTATTACAAAGTGTGACAGGTAGCTATTACAAAGTGCGACAGCTTGATTATTACAAAGTGCGACAACAGTTAATACAAAGTGCGACAGGTTATCAATATTATGAAGTGTGACAGATTTGTTACAAAGTGCGACAGGTATTACGAAGTGCGACGATTATTACAAAGTGCGACAGTACATCGCATATTGTGGATACCACTATGCACTTAACATAAACGTGAAAATAAAAAGGACGAAGAAAGTAATATTAATTATAACCCTATACTACAGACATGCTACAGTAATCCTACCCATTAATCTAAGTATTCAACATTATAATCATTAGATAAATACATTTTCAATAAAGTAAAGACAAACATGGAAACCTCTGGGTCATATGTACTAACGATTTTACGGGAAAACAGCTTGGTTTGAAAGTAAGCATAGGCCTACACCGACTTTGTCTCTATGGTTTGTTCTGTTTACTGTGGATCGTCAAAAAAGTGTTTAAACTTCATTTTACAATGATAATAAAAAACTAATTGTACCAAGAACAGTGTTCATAAAAATACGAAAAATGCGGAAAATAGTTACCGGTACTAAACGTTACAGTAAAAAAAAGCTAGGGGTTCAGAAAATTTCTGTATTTATTATTGCTTTGTACTTAAAACAATGATAATTAATTTAAGTAATACGTCGAGATCTTGGCAATGAATAAGTAATCATAGTACATAGTTTTGTTACGAAAAAATTTACCCCTTCCCACCCCACCCAATGAATGTTATTGATTACCGTATCGTTTTTTGGAATATCCTTCATTTCTTCATTCCAAACATCAATGCATCCGGCATGACAGGCACTCGTATACGTTATTCCGTCCGAGCCACACACAGGATTATAAACATTCTCTGAACATGCGCAGTTTGAATTACAGGTGTTGTTAACATTTGGTAAAGTGCTGCAAAAGAATACAAAACTTAACAAAATAATTTGAAGCCGTTTCAAGACAATGATTTTTTTTTTTCGTTTCCTCATTCATTTATTTCTGTCATTACGCAATTAATTCATTAAATCATTAATTCATTAAATCTTTAATTCATTTGATCGTTTGTTTGTTCGTTCTATCGTCCATCAGTCCTTCCGTTCTAGGCTTTACGTCAAATATTTAAAGATATTACTTACTTTCACATAATCTAAATTTGTGTTGCATGTGGTCAGTGGCGTACTAGGATTCTTGCGATGGGGGGGGGGGATAATGTGGGAGCGGATTGATGATAAATTGAGGGGCGCTAGCTGACAAAACAATGCCAGCTTTAACTAATAATGCTTTAGCTTTAATTTTAACTTGAGCGTATGTTTTGCCTCGAAAATTTCTAATAGGGGAGGGCTGGGTGGTCACCTTTCTTGGGGAAGTGTGGGGGATACTACTGTGTTTTTCTTAATTTGTTTAATGGCTGGATGCACGGCTACTAAATTATTTACCTACATTACCGGCCATTTAACCTAATGATTTTATACCCAACGTTGATGCTAATGTTATGTTTTTTCTAACTCTAAATAACATTTTCCAAGCGTGCACTTACCCTTGTTTGTAAGTAGTATTGTAAAATGTAGTAACACCAGCAATAGCAGGATTTTGACATCCGATGAACAGCAAAGGGGTGGCAAAAAGAAGTGCACTTGTAGACAATATTGCAAGCATTTTACAAAGCCCAACTTGAGTTAACTTTAACTTTTTGACAAAAAAACTACTGGCAATATTAGCGCACACAGTACCCGGTAAGTTTATCACACCTATAAACAATAGAGAAAGCCAACAATTACTGTGGTTGATTAATACCACAAAATGTAAACTTCCTTTCGTTTAGCCTAAAAGTTAAAACTCATATAGGCCTAGAAAGCCCAAACGTTTAAAACGAATTGAAACCTAAAAATATATGACTGTAAACATACTAAACCTAAACATTTTTACACCTAAAAATAAAGTTTAAAATTCAAACCTATAGTAAAACCATAAGCCATAATACATTTTCTAGCTCGCTCGTATACAGTAAAGAATAGATATAGATCTCCCTCTGACCTCTCCAATTAGCCTACAGACCACCTCCAATTATAAAGAATATTTTTCTGGTCCCAAATTTACAAATGCACGTGGTCGCGGTAGAGACGCGTAGACCTACATTAGAGATACAATTTTCATACAAAATTACAATTATTTAATTGATTTACTTGGAATTTGAATCATGTTTGTGTCCAATGGAAATCGGTTTTAAGAAATATTAACTCTGACTTACCAAGTATAATAGAGGCGGTAGCTGCCGATACAGCGAATTGTTTCTCGATATACTTGGCAATGAAGAACGAAAATCCACCATAGATAGCTATGTCACAGGCGAATGTGAGTTTTAAAAGCACAATTGTCGGGTTGGTAACAATCCTCTTCATTGCCTTCATAAGATCTGGTAGAAATACAAATTCGCACATAATAAATAACTACCGGTACTACTACTATTACTACTACTACTACTATACTACTACTAGCCTACTACTACTACTACAAATAATAATAATAATAATAATTATTATTATTATTATTATTATTATTATTGTTATTATTATTATAAAAATAATAATAATAATAATAAAAATTGAAATTATTATTATTATAAAAATTGAAATTTTACATTTTACAACGGAATTCGATTATCAAAGAAGCAAATAAAAAGTTGCAACAAGTACGATACTATTTTTTTATATTGTTACATATGCTCATAATGTTCGATTACTCTTTTAGGAGCCGAATTCGCATTTTGAAACTGTATTTAATACAAACATAATTGCAAACATAAAACTGTTTAATCAAAACTTCAAGTTCGAATCCCCCCACCCCCGAAACACTTTATTTATAAAACTGAAAAAGGGAACTTTTCGTTGAGAAGCTATGCTTCTACGATCACAACATCGTATATTCCTATTGGGAACCGTTATTTTTATTATTCATCTATTTTTGTAATGGTCACGCCTTTGGTATCTCGCCTTTTCCATAGGATGCAAAACTCCTAGAGTCAGAGATAAACAAAAACAATAAAGCCAATAAAGATGGTTGTTTTACACTGTGCTTATGTTGCTACGCAACAAACCATTTAAAAAATATATAAATTTCAGTGTAAGAAACACGAAAGAATATATAAATAGAAGTTGTTTTTTTTTTTTAAATTATTTATATGCCTAAATATAAAAGACACGGAAACATAATTACCTTTAATGTGGGTGTGTGTGTGGGGGTGTGTGTGTGTGTGTGACATCGTTACACCTGGTTAACATCATATTTCTCGTTGTTCCACGGAAAAGTGTCCCTCTAACAGGGTTGTCCCTGAATAGGTGTCATCTAAAGAAGGGGTTCTATTTTATCTAACGCTCTGCTTTCAATTTTTTTTTCATGTATTTTTTGTGTCTAACCTAGTCTTGTTAATTGATGTATGTTTCTAATAGGACTGCATTTTCCCGAAAAGATTTGATAAACCTTTGATTACAATGTGACTTACCAATGTAAATCGACGTGGTAGTCGAATCCACTGTTGAGTCATCCAAGTATGTAATGATCAACGGAAACAATGGTGCCGACCCGATACCAATCAGGATTTGGCCCATTACTAACCACGCTACTCCTAACGGTTGCCCTTCTTTCGAATTCCCAGATACACACCTATCCTGGAGCACGTCACCAAATGAACACAAGTCATTGTCGATATCGATGTAACTAGTACCGTCGCTGTCATTTTGCAGTACTAAGTGGTTATTGAGTATAGTAGGCTCTGAAGTAAAATGTGGTATAGAAAAAAGAAAGTGGCCGATCCCAATTATTATACCACTAACACAAATTATCCTGGGACGGTGATATTTCGAGCCGTAATAGGTTGCAAAGATAATGAGGGAAAGAGTTACTATATCGTTTATGGTCGCAATAAAACCAGATTGAGAACTCGAAAGCTGGAATTGCTTTTCAATAGTACTTATACATCCACCTAGGTAAGTCGAAGCTCCTATAAGTACGGTGTATAAAGGCATTATGAGAGTTAGAAATGCCACTGGAGTACTAAAACGATTACATCTGTTGTGGATCAAACAATTCGTGTCATCGTCATCATCATCATAGTAATTCAGCGGTCTTGAGTATGGACGTGTGGTGTGACCACTCGTCTGGTGTTTTCCTTGTCGTTCTTCATCACCGTCGACATTAGGCAGAGAGTCGTATTTGTGCATGTTCAATCGTGGTAAAGATGGTGTCTTCTTTGTCTGTAATGACGGTAGTTATGGTGAGATCAACAATAATTATTTTAAAATAAGAACAATGTATGGGCGTGAACAAATATTGTTAACTAGAGCAGTCACTCCATAAAGTGCATACCTTCGCCCTGTGCCTGAATACAGTACTAAAAATACGCAGGCTGCAGCATACGTCGCCCGACGTATTCAGGTATAATATTTTCTTGAGTGCTTCCTGAATACGAGGGGTGATTCTATTATTTTCTTTTATGCTGGAGGTGAAAAAAAATCGAATTTCAGTGAAGTTAACCTTGTCCTTTGACCTTTCTTTCGAAAACTGAATGGTCGTGTCTTTTTCTATTATGATGTACCATTCCACTGTTATGAGGATCCATTCATGAGACTTTGCGTAATCTTACTAACAGACAGACAGAAAGACAGACAGTTCAACAGCCGTGAATATAAGGTGGAGGTAATGAAAACAATAAATAAGATTAGATATTGAATGTAAATAATAGCACCACTGCTTTTTTTCAAGAGTAGGTCTACAACCTCTGAATTTGCCTAATAATCGATTGCATAGTACAGTACTATATTTCTAATTTTATTTTCTTCTCAAGGGAAAGCTATTGTATTACGTCAATAAATGACCTGCTTTATAATATTTACAGTAGCACTTGCATTTTTTTCTGAACAATAAAATTACTGAAATATGGAGGTACTGTGGTCGTATAATGGCCTCGTGTTAAAAAATGCACGACTATACATTGTTCAATGTTTAATGTCCATTGATTAAATTAACATTATTCATTAACGTAGTGATTGAAAATGTTTTTTGGTGGACTACCTTTCAACCGTATTCGACTATATTTCAGTAAGTATTTTAAAGGTCCCCTGTTTACGTGGTGTGTCCATACAAGTGTGGCAAATGCCACATTTGATGTGTGTCCATACAAGCCAGGTACACACACAATACTGACTTATCTGCTGTACGATGTTAAAAATGTAGACTTAGGAAATGCATTTGATAAGTAACTAAATTGTAAGGTTGTTTACAATATTTATCGCTTACCTTTTGACGATTTTGACTCAGTGCGCTCTTCTGTTGGATAAGTTGGAATGGCTTTCCCCAAAGAACTTAAATAGCAGAAGAATGAGATGTTCCGCGTAGGTATTTGCATTAAAATTGATGGAATATCCGCCCTCCCGCGAATGGAGTAAAATTTGAACATTTTACTAAGTGGAGAAACTACAGGAAACAAACGAACCAGAGCGGCGCCTTTATTATTACTATATAGCGCCTCTGCGCGGACGGAGTAAAATTGTTCTCCGTGTACCCACAATGCCTTCGAACGGATGTTCCACTATATTGGGAAGCTGCTCTATCTTCTGCTATTTATTATCTTTGCTCTCCCGTGAACAATGCATGATAAATTTATCTTAAGTCAACAAGTATTCGTTGATATGTTTGAAATGTTTTATATTTATGTTTGCATAAGTTTCGTGGTTGCAACCAGGGGTGGACTGGATTTTATATAAATACCAGTCTCTAAGATGGGGCTTAATTTGACAGAAAAGGTTTAGTATTTTTCCAGGTAACAAATGTGTAACAATTTTAAACCAACCATTACCGCATATCATCTATTGACTGCTACTGGATAATAATAATAATAATAATAATAATAATAATAATAATAATAATAATAATAATAATAATAATAATAATAATAATAATAATAATAATAATAATGATAATGATAATGATACAGTGCAACAGTATGTTATTATTCCATTCATAATGCATCAACATTTATTAACATTTATCAAGATTAAAAAAAGGTAAATTTATAGAATTTTTTAAATTTGTAAATTTATAGAACGGTAGTCGGTAGGCTAATTATTAATGCATTAAAATTCCTTTTTGTCTACTCCTTGTTGCCTTACTTTCTATTCCAGTGGCAGTGTCCGGGGGTCACATGAGAGACCACACTGGAAAGATTTAAAAGGCCTATAATTAATCAATGAGGCCTAGAGAATTTCATAATGTGCATGTTATAATAATATTTATTTGGCAATCATCAAGTACAATTTAAGCCCGGAGTGAGAATAGGCAAAAGCCCAAACAGATACTGCACTCACTCCACCTTATACAAAAATGAACTGAACACCAATCAAGTTTTGTAATTATACAAATACAAAAATATAAAAAGCACTAAACAAAAAATTACAAACAAAATACAATAAAGTACAACAAATATAATGAAATATAGTACTTAATTAGAGCAGATTTAAAAGATGAGATTGATGAAGAATTTGGAATTACAGGTGGTATTTGTTCCCATAGCCTAGGGAAGGATACAAACACAGAATTTAGAAATGTATTGCTTTTCACTTTCCAATGTAAAAGTCTTCCCTCACATCTTTCACTAATTTTGATATATTCATTAAATGTAGGAGGACAAAAACCATTCAAAACCTTAAATCCTAATGCAAGTTTATGTAGCTTAAATAAATCATCAATACTCAGAATGTTAAGAGTTTTCAACCTATAGCAATAAGATGTCTCCCATGAATTTTCTTTCCTAAACATTATAATTCTTGTTGCCTTTCTCGGTATGCTTTCAATTCTATTTATATGGGATTCTATTTATATGGGATGTTACATCATGGACTATTTTTGCTGCGAAGCAGCCAATTCATATTCTTGACAGCAATTTGACCTCTGAAAGGTCATTGTTTGTCAAAAAAACAATCGCCTAAGACAACTGAAAAGCGGAGTTTCCTTCTTTCGTTCTGCCGGATAAAGTCAATTACTTTAGGCGACGTTTGTAGACTAACCTACTCGTACCAACGTCGGCATGTCGCGACGCTGGAGTACTATTCAGCGTTTTTACTATATTTCTAGGCTTCCTATTTCTACGTTTAATCGGCTCATGTCTCAGCCACGATATTTTGAGGCCAATATTATTTACGAACCCAGTTAAACTTATTTACTAGCCTATTTCAACGTGCTAATTATTAAATTTAGGCGACGCTTGTTGTAGACTGGCATAGTGTTTTCGGAAATAAATACCATTTTATACACATGCGCAGATCGATTCGCCAGCAGCAGCGAGTCGCCAGCAGTGAGATGTCACTGCAGCAAAACACTATTGTACACGGTACCAACGCTGTTCTAATATAGACAATGAGTAGTGCTCATAGTATTTGTTATGTTTTTATTATTCATTATTTTCGCTTGACTCGCATAAATAATTTTGTTCGAAGAACATTTTATGCAGTTGTACTTCGCAGCACTTCACTTGCAATTTGCAATTTCTAGTTTAGTAATATAATGATATTTTTAAATGTTCCATAGTATACACTTTGATGTTACAGTTGAAACTTCATATGTAGGATTCTTGAAGGAAAAATACCTACCCACTGCATTTTTTACATTACAAAACATTTAGTTTCATAATGAACGTACGCAGTATGTTTGATAAAAGTTCGCCATATGATGCATAGGCTTAGACCAACAATATTTATATATTATATACATTTCAACATAGGTTATTCAAGCTATTGTATTTTTGGGAATTTTACATTTATGTTTTCAACATAGGCTATTCAAGTTATTGTTTTTGGGAATTTTACATTTGTGTTTTCAACATAGGCTATTCAAGTTATTGTTTTTGGGAATTTTACATTTGTGTTTTTTGTAATTGAGGTGTGATAACCTGAAAAGCAGTTATAGGCCTATGAATATTTTCATCGTATGCCTTCAATATACATGCATTACAAAAGTGTTTGTATGTCATATTTCCCACTAAGATTTAACAACAAAAACATCTTCTTAAAAAAGCAGATTGTCAATGACCTGATTGTATCGGTTGAATATTAATTACACAACATTTAAAACTGGTTTTATTTTTATTTTTCATCCACTGCGACGATAGGGTATTTGCAATTCTGAAAAGATGAATGAGGGCATTTTAAGATTATTAGTTTGACTTTCCTTTTAATAAACTACACTATCAACCGTTGTACTCATGAATGTCCCCCTCCCAACCCTCACATACCATTTCCAATTGACAAGTATGATCAAGTACATTTTTAGTTAGCAAACTGTTACAGTATGACAAATTTCTTCTTCGTTCGTATGGTGTGGCACAATATCATTTTCCACAAGCTCCATTGATGGTTTTGATTTGTTCTGCGGAAATAGAAAAGGGAATTCATATAAAAGCGGATTCACAAGTAAATAACAACCACGATGACCACTACTACGCACTACTACTCTACCAGAAGTAGGCCGGCCTGTTTTTTTAAGTAGCATTTCAATTATTCTCTGGACACGTCGCATGGCCCATACCATTTTTCTCTGGTTCCGCCCCGTACTTGGTAATACTATAAATTGATTTGAACAATACCAAATAACGTTTTGAATAAGTGAAACACATTATGGCTCTACTCACCTTCAAACGATCGCGATTTATGCTGCCGTATACACAGAAAGTAAGCACTACGACTAAAACTTTTAACCCAACGAACAGTCCGATGAATGAGTAGCGATATCGCTCAAGATCGTAAACGAGACACGCTCCTTCACGACCACACGATTCCTGGCGAATCAAACACGCACTGGAAATAACGGCGCCAAAATAGATCGGAGCAGGAAAGTAGCCTAGCAAACAAAAGTGTTTTGATTTAATTACATAAGCAATAACTGATTCCATTAACAGTTTTAAGTCAGTATTATTAAACATAAACACAACATTATTTGCAGATATGCAGGGGCGGATCAAGGGTGTTTGTACCGGGGTGGTTCGAAACTCCCATTGAGGACGTATGCGACCGGCTCAGACAAAAACCTACATTAAATGTCGCATTTCATTTCTTCACACTAACACCCAAAACTTTTGAGAATCATAATTTTGAACAATTTCTTGTTTTTTCCAGTTTATAAAAGAACATTTCTGCTAAATAGCAATCACTAAGTCTAACTGAAGAGTATTTTAAAATTATTTTAAAATACAAACCCTAATATTGATTTTGGAAATGGGGGAATATTTTTCAGAGGGGCCTTTCACCAATATAGGAATTCATGGCCCCTCGTGGCCTCGTGAAGTTTCGAAGTTTTAGCCAATTTAATCTCTCCTATAACGGATTTCACACTTGGTTATAGGATTTTTATGGTTGCAGGGGAAGGTGGTTCCAAGGGATCTCCCGGATCCCCTACTGATATCTTGATATTTTTAGCCTGTTCGGTTAAGCCTCAAATTACAAAGTTAAGAAATTTAGATCGCTTACCAAGTACCCTAATGACAACAGAACCAAACGCTATCCCAAGTGCACGATCATTTGGGTCAACGGATCTGTAGTAATAACATTAATAATAAAAACCTCAATAAAACATTCATAATATTAATAATTAAATATTTTATTAATTGACTGTCTAAGTGGCCGATTGATTGATTGATTGATTGATTGATTTATTGATTTATTTATTGATTGATTGATTGATTAAATGGTCGGTTGGTCAATCGATCGGTCGTTCCATCCACCCATTTATTGATTGACTGCTTAGGTTCGAATGCTTAAGAAATATTTGTCGTGAGAAACGTTTTCAGCGTTTTTAAAATTTGACAGAACAATGACCAATCTGTAACACACAAGTCAGATAGAACATAATTACCTCAACGACAGCATAAGATTTGGATTTGTTTTCATAGCAGCGAAAATGGTAATAATAGCTACAATGAGGACAAATGGAAGTATCTTATCACATGTCCAGTCACATGATCCTTCAGTGGCAATTCCGCCTTCAATCAACCCGTCTGTAGTTTCCCATACATCTCCAGTGACTATGCAACTGCACCCGATGAAAATCTGTGAACGGAGTATGTAGGCATCATTTACATATTATGTACTATTTTACATTATTGACTTCTTACCTGTATTTCAAGATTCAAGGTTGCTTTTGACCATTAAAAATAACAGAACTTCATTTGAAACCAGACAGATGTTAAAAGTGTGCACTCAACCCAATTTTAAATATCGCCAAACATATATATACATCTTATAAATAGAAGCTTGCTCATACAGTACCGGTAGAACCCTTTTTAAAGGAACCCCATCGGGGACACTTTCGGAACCACAAAATGTCTCCTTATGGATGTCCCCTAAATGAGGATTGACCGCAGTGTTGAAAGATAAAAATAGAATAAATAACCATAACTTAGCAGCGTATTGTGCTGCTGAGTTTCCGTACTACGGTCGTGGTCCGTGACTACTCAGCTCCGTAGAGAGGTGCTTAATCTGTAGCTTTATGTTCACACCATTCCCAGTGGCAGATTCAAGTGGTGAGGGCGGCGGCCCCCACCTAATTTTTTTTAAATAAAAAAAATTAAGAAAGACAAAACATTATATTTAAATATTAGGGCTGAGAGTGGCATTTCCGGCCTTCTAGAGATGCCATAATCATAAATTTTCTTGCATCAGCCCCAATCATGGGTGGGTATAAACCCTCCACCTGTGAAATCCCTCGCTGGGGTCTCTATTTCAAATCCCTGGATCCACTTCTGATTCCTCAAGGAAAGATGGTTCATTCAGCCCCTGAATGAACCATAGCATCAAGGTAACACCCCCACCCCAAACTCCTCTGAAAGCTGTAATGGGTTCTAAGTTCACATGGCCAAGATGCAGTGTACATTGGGCATCCGTTTTTAAGTCTTTATCCAAGAAGACTTGGTTCTACCAACCGAACACTGTTCGAGGAGCAGCTCAAAGACCCAGCACCGATATTAAAGGTTGTAGTTAGCGGCGCCCCTGTTTCACTGCTCGACCACTCGACTATAATTTCCCCACGGTTTGTCACCAAAAAAGGATAGGACCTGTGGTAGCCCGTTGTACAATTTTTGGATTCCTAATTGTTCTGTACTTTAAAAGTAATCCATCGAAATCGTGCCAATGAGTTCGTAAGTTTTGTAACAGCAATTTCACCCCTTCGCACCCCACCCCTAATGAATATTATTGACTACCGTATCGTTGTTCGGAATGTCACCAAGTTCGTCCTTCATTTCTTCATTCCAAACGTCAATACATCCGGCATGACAGGCACTCGTATACGTTATTCCATCCGAGCCACACACAGGGTTATAAACATTCTCTGAACATGCGCAGTTCGAGTTACAGATGTTGTTAACATTTGGTAAGGAGCTACAATAGAATATAAAGATTAAATTAATTTGAAACCTTTTCAAGACAATGATTACTTTTCTGTTGGTTCATTTGTTCGTTAGTTCGTTCTTTCGTTCGTTCGTATACACTGTTACTAAGTTATTTACCTAAACTAACTCTAAATGCAAAAGAGTGAAATAGATAGTGTGAAATAGATTGAGTGAATTTGAATAATTTTTCACTATTTTAAGAATAATATTCGCTCATTTAAGAGTGAATTTTCATCCGAGAAAGAGTAAAATTGGATTGATCACTGAAGGCACTCTTTTAAAGTGAAATTCACTCTTTTACATTAAGAGAGTCCCGCCAATTAACCTAACATTGTAAATTATAAGCAACATTGATGCTAATATTAGGCACATCCAACTATAAATATAAAATCTTCTGAATATTTACCCTTGTTTGTAAGTAGTATTGTAAAAGGTAGTAACACCAGCAACAGCAGGGTTTGAGCATCCGATAAACAGCAAAGGGATGCCAAAAAGAAGTGAACTTATAGACAATATTGCAAGCATTTTACAAAGCCCAAGTGGAGTTAACTTGAACTTTCTGACAAAAAAACTACTGGCAATATTAGCGCACACACTTCCCGGTAAATTTATCACACCTATAAACAATACAGAAAGAAACAATTTGATTAATACCACAAAATGTAAACTTCCTTTCGTTTCCTCTCTTCCAGTATATCTTTTTTAATTAATCGGTACAATATATTTCTGCCGGAGTTACTTTATTTTCAACTTGTAGATAATATCTCATTATGTCATGTGTTAGCCATCTTTCGACCATCCTATTCGTTTTGTTTTTTTTTAAATAATAATAATGATACACAACAACGACGGCAATCATTTTGAATCAGGTGGTGTTTTTTTCGACGCACTGATAGCTTGTAAGCTGCAATTACGCCCAGGTCTACAGCATGATAATATGATTGAACTGATACTGTAATTTTATATGCCTATTGCAATTGACAAAACGTGTATTGCGGAATTAAATTATGTGATTGTACGCGCGTATACAGTATGCGTGAATGTTAATATTCAGTTAATGCCTTTTCCGCAGCGTAGATCAAGGCACGTTCCATTCCTAAAAGTTAAAAACTTAAATAGGCCAAAGTCCAACTTTCAAACAATGCCGAATTTAACTCTAAATATAAACATATTAAATCTAAACGTTTTACACATGTAGTCTAAAATCCAAACCAATAGTAAAACTATAAGACGTAACATATTTTCTAACTCGTATACATTAAAAACTTAAATCTAATATTTACATAATGTTCGTTTTCACTAGAGGCGATAGCAGCACACGACCGTGGTAGGGATGCGTACATTAATGCCCTTATGAAATTATGATATAAAATCGCTTTAATTTTCAACAAAGAAACAACAGTTTCCCACACATCCAGAAAACTAGTACTGGCGCCGCTTAGGACATTCGCTATTTAGTCGACAAAATACATTTTTTTATCGACAAAATGCTATTTTGTCGAACACACTGTATTCTTTTACCATAAAATGATATGAACCGTGACATGCACCCACAATGGCGGTGCTGGTTAGAACGGCATGCTGACCTATGGTTCCGGTGACGAGACAAGTCTTCTTTGGATAAGGACTCAAAACCGTGGTCCAGTGTACACAATTGGCTCGTGTGCATTTTAAAGAACTCAGTGCATCTTTCGAGAAGAGTAGAGGGTAGTTACCCCGGTGTACTGGTCCATTTCAGCCACAGAAGGAGCGTTTACGTCGCGGGCCATGTCAGGTGGCCTTATATCCTACCTGCGAATTCTTCTACCACACTACACACACTAGCTACGTAGTGAATCAAGAAGAAGATCATAAAATGATTATTTTGTCGACAAAATGCTATTTTGTAAGACAAAATTTATTTCGTCACCACAAAATGCTGTTTTGTCGACAAAATGCTATTTTGTAAGACATAATTTATTTTGTCACCAACAAATGTTATTTTGTCGACAAAATGTATTTTGTAAGACAGAAGTTATTTTGGCAACACAAAATGCTAATTTGTCGACACAAGCACTTTTCGTAGTTGACAAAAAGACTTTTGTAGAAGACAGAATTCATTTTGTCACCATAGAATTCTATTCTGTAGACAAAGGGACTTTTGTAGAAGACAGAAGTCATTTTGTCGACAGAAGCACCTTTTGTGTGAGACAGAACGAGTTTATATGCCAATGAAGAGGAGGAACCTCTTAGTAATAAATTTTCTCAAATACTACTTTCCCTCAATCAAGTTCAGGGCTAGCCTAATCCAGTCCGGCCCAGCAGGATAAATGTCAGGATACTTGTGGATACCACTCAGCTAGGCGCTACAGTAGAGCCCGAGGGGCTTTAAGCATTGTTGCAGACTTGCATTCTAAAAATAATTTTTAAAAAGGCTTTAGAGAGGGGCCTGGCTAGGCATAGGTCAGCCTCTACTGCTAGTATTATTAACTAGGCCTAATGCCTATAACAATAAGCTAACTACGGTAGGCCTATGGCCTAGGAATACCAGTAAGTAGCTTTAAATATGTATTGTCAATGATTAATCATAATATTAAACGTTCTGATATTAAATTAGCTCAGAAAAAAGAAAATATTTATTTCAAATTTTGCACCAGATAATGCTGAGATATATAGAAAATATACATTTCATTTCATATACATAGCATTTTGTCGACAAAATAATCATTTTACGATCTTCTTCTTGATTCACTACGTAGCTAGTGTGTGTAGTGTGTAGGATATAAGGCCACCTGACATGGCCCGCGACGTAAACGCTCCTTCTGTGGCTGAAATGGACCAGTACACCGGGGTAACCCTCTACTCTTCTCGAAAGATGTACTGGGTTCTTTAAAATGCACATGAGCCAATTGTGTACACTGGGCCACGGTTTAGAGTCCTTATCCAAAGAAGACTTGTCTCGTCACCGGAACAATAGGCCACTCTATTTTTAGATTTAATACTTGGTAAAAAATTTTCAAGTACTGTAATAATAAAATACTCGAGTGTAGATGACAACTAAAACTAAAATGAAAACAGCAATAAGCCAAAACCTATGAGAACACCAAGAAGGACCTCTGTAGCATTCTTACAGACATTAGCATCATCATGACATTTTTTTTATAACAAATTCTTTAAATTCAATTAATTTCATAACCTTATATAATAATTCTAAACCACAAATGTTGTACAGTATAGCATAATAAGGTCAAAATGAGTTATCCTGTTATGTACTAAGGTAATAAATAGGCCTACAGTATATTAGTTATAAAGTAGAAGTACTTGATCAGCCAACAGTTAAGGACCTCTTGACTATTAAATTGTCTCTAGTCAAACACTGCCCCAGGAGTGATAACTTAATTTAACAACAGATCGTATAGATATTATAGGATCTGTGATTTAACAGTCATAGGCCTACATCCTTCTGACCTAACATTCAAATCCAGTTAGTTAATTTAGATTTATTTTAATGTATTGTTAGAATGCCAATATACATATTTGTTCATAGCGTCATCCAACCAAGAAAAGGCTCCGCCTTCTCATTTGCATTTAACATCGTTTCGTCTCACACAAAGGTGTTTCTCGCGACGAAATTATTTCTGTCTTTTTAAAGTATTTTTGTCGATTACGAAAGGTCATTTTGCCGACAAAGCAGCAATTTTGTTTTTAAAAAGCTATTTTGTCGAAAAATAGCATTTTGTGCTGACAAAAACATTCTGCCTTAAAAAATAAAATTTTGTCCACAAAATCATCATTCTATGGTAACAGAATACATTTTATCGTCAAAATAGCGAATGTCCCAAACTGTAGAAAACAGTGGTCAGAAAGTGAACCGACGCAGGAAAGGCAAAACAATAAATCATATAAAAAAAAATCGGCAGCAAGATTCGAGAGTCGGACTCGGAATTTCCATCAAAATGCAGGCTCAGAGAGAGAGAGAGAGAGGATCTAGATGTGTATAAGAGACAGCGTATGCACTGTTACTAAGGTGGAAAGGGAGAGCACAGGAGAAGAGAGGGGGAAGAAGAGCTAATAGATACTTTGCAACAATTTAGGAATGGTGTATTGAGTCAGGTTGGTTCACAATTCGAATGGTAGATACTGAAGGATGATAAAATTGACAATTTGGAGACGTTCTTGATTGTTGTATTGTTTTAAGATCTCTCTGAGCCTGAAAGTGTTGTTATTTGAGGCATATGCCTAACACAGAACCGATCTCCAAGCAGATCAAATTGACCTTCCAACCGAAGCTCTCGGTGTCCAAAAACCAGCGGAGAATGTTTATTATTTTTTTTCTATTATGAGCCGAGACAATTCCAAATTCAAAAGTTATTGTAAGTTTAATGATTGTCAAATTTCTTGGGGTTTTTTTTTCAAAAAAGTACATATGAAATTGGATTAGTGGCGGTACAATCGGAAGGTATGGTAGTATGACTGGTGGATTTTCCGTCGAGAGCATCGGCTGGGAGGTCAGTAACACTATCAGAGGATCAGTGGTACCTTCGAAACCCTGTAATATAGACTGATATAAGTACACTATTATGCCACCATTTGTATCTTCCCAGATCAATAATTATGGTGAAGCGTTTCCCTATTACCACAATACTTACATTTAATTATTTAATTATAATTTGTTTTGATCATGTTATTGCATCCAATGAAAATTGGTCTTAAGAAAGATAAATTTTGACAAACCAAGTATAATAGAAGCAGTGGCGGCCGATACTGCAAATTGTTTCTCGATATATTTGGCGACGAAGAACATAAATCCAGCAACGATAGCCAAATCACAGGCGACTGTGAGTTTTAAGAACACGATTGTCGGGTTGGTAATAATCCTCTTCATTGCCTTCATAAGACCTTTCGTAGAAATACAAATTCGCACAAAATAAATAACTGTTACTAATACTGGTGGTACTATTACTACTACTACTAATACTATTTTTTCATTTATTTATTTTCCAGATCTTATTACAATACATCACAAAAAGAATCAACCACTATTCTGGCGGATTGTCATAAGCAAAAAAAAAATCAATAAATAAATAAAATCGCTATGCAAAGACTCCAACTAGTACTGAAACAAAAAAATACAAAAAATAACAAAAATAATAGACATAATTATAATATTAACAATAAGACAAAATAATAATAATAATAATGATAATAATATTAATAATAATAATAATATTAATAATAATATTATGTACAGTATGTTCTTATTGGGCACCGTTATTTTTATTATTTATTTATTTTTTATACTGTCAGCAAACCATTTAAATATACAGTATGCACACACACACAAACACACACCCACACACATACATATATATATATATAAAAGATATATATATATATATATATATATATATATATAGGCATATATATAAAAAATATATATAAATAAAATATATATACACAGTAGAAATATACAGGAGCTGTCTCTTATACACATCTAGATGTGTATAAGAGACAGAAGTAAAACTGCATAAAATGTCCTTCGAACAAAATTATTTATGCGAGTCAAGTGAAAATAATGAATAATAAAAATATAACAAATAATATGAGACACGACCCATTGTCTATATATAGAACAGCGTTGGTACCGTGTACAATATAATAGTGTTTTGCTGCAGTGACTTCTCGCTGCTGGCGACTCGCTGCTGCTGGCGATGACTCGCTGCTGGCGAATCGATCTGCGCATGTGTATAAAATGTATCAAGCAACAGAAACCAAAGCTGTAAAAAACACTCATACATAATTTATAACAATGACAATAAAGTTTATCATGATTATATTTTATCTTTCTTGAGAATGAAGTATGAACATGAGTATATAGCGGACTGTATTCACACAGGACTATATCTGTCTCTTATACACATCTAGATGTGTATAAGAGACAGTTTTAAGCCTTGTCTGTATGTAAAGTATAAACACACTTTTGTGGCTTCAACCAGCTGGTAAAATGTAGCTACTACAGTATGCCTTGTCAGTTGTGTTAGTGCCAATGATATTTTTATTTTTAGTTCAATAGATAATATGTTTAGATAACCTGTTTTTTGACTGGTTTTCTTTACTTCTCCCATATCGTGGGCATTTCTTTTAAATAAATATAATAATAATATATAGCGTTTAATGCCACCTAGGCCTCTAAGCGCTTCACATTATTACTCCCAAATAACCAGGTGCAGATCCAGTTGGGAAAACTGGGGAACGTGCCCTTGTTTTGTCACTAAATTTTTAAAATATCAATGCATATCAATGTTATGTGCTTACTCACTTATCTACTCTGAAACTGTTTGAAAAATTGAGGGTCTGCCATTGATAACCTGAAAAATTTTATCATAGATTTTTTAAACATTTGAGTAGAGATGTTTTAAGTAGCATAGGTTTACCAAACAATCACATCTAAGAATCATGCATTCAAATTCAATTTGTTTACTGTGCAAATATTCTGTATTACAGTACTATTGTGAAGAAATCTAACATAATGTGGCAATTTGCCACTCACCATGAATTTTGGAAGCGTAAGATTCCACCATAGACACAGATTTTGATGAACGAACTTAAGAGACTGTTTTGTAACGATTTTAAACAAGCAAAGAATAGTTCTAGTTTGTCTTTTGTTTGCATATTAATAAAGTTATCGAGTGGTACAGTATAAAAGTAGAACATTGTCTTTTGCATGTAAAATTTGAAATCCAATGGTCCCAAGTTGGAAGAAGCCACTTCCGGGAGACCTGTATCTAAATATTTTTTGCTGTTCATAGTGATACCTGTCTCTTATACACATCTAGATGTGTATAAGAGACAGGGTGATAGGCATTTGATTGCAATGATGGCTTACCAATGTAAATCGACATGGTAGTTGAATCCACTGTTGAGTCATCCAAGTACGTAAGAATCAATGGGAACATTGGTGCCGACCCGATACCAATCAGGATTTGCCCCATTATCAACCATGCCACACCTAACTGTTGCCCTTCTTTTGAACCCCCGGGTGCACACCCATCCTGAACCACGTCACTGAAACACAGTTCATTGTCGGTATCGATGTAACTAGTACCATCACTGTCATTATGCAGTACTAAGTGGTTATTGAGTATAGGTTCTGAAGTAAAATGTGGTATTGAAAAAAGAAAGTGGCCGATCCCTACGATTATGCCACTAACACAAAGTATCCTAGGACGGTGAAATTTTGCGCCGTAATAGGTGATGAAGATAACGAGCGAAAGTGTCACTATGTCGTTTACGGTAGCAATAAAACCAGATTCGGAACTTGAAAGCTGGAATTGCTTTTCAATAGTACTTATACTTCCACCTAGATAAGCCCCAGCTGCTACAAGTACGGTGTATAAAAGTATTATGAGAGTTAGAAATGCCACTGGATTATTAAAACAATTACATCTGTGGATTAAACAATTCGTGTCGTTGTCATCATGGTTCAGCCGCCTTGAATATGGACGTGTAGTGTGACTGCTCGTGTGGTGTTTTTCTTGTCGTTGTTCATTACCGTCGACATTAGGCAGGGAGTCGTATTTGTACATGTTCAATCGTGGTCAAGATTGCGTCTTCTTCGATTTGTCTGTAAATGACAGTAGTTGAGTGAGATCAACAATGATTATTTTATATAAGAACAAGATATGGGCGTGAAAAACTATAGTAAATAAAAACAAAATAATAATAAAAATACCATTAGATTAGTGCAACCAGTGCAAAGCACTGTTGCCGGGGACTTTTGAGGCCTCTCTCAATACTATTTTAGAGGCCATAATTATTGATTAAATTCATAGAATATATGACTTGACCATATTTTGTTTTCAATATTCTTGAATATTTGTTTGAAATATGTCATAGATATATCTTTTCGTAAAATCTGTTTTAAAAATCTAATAATTGGACCCCACTAATCCTTTGTCTCTGGGTCTGATCAAGTGCCTCTAGGAAACTTAAAAGTACCCCGATTAATGTGCTCCGGACATCATTTGCCAAAAATCGTCAGAAAGAAACTCTGTAGGCCTATCCTTTTTACCGGGCTTCACATTAAAGGGCGCGGCTATCATCTTGCACTGGGGCCCGTCATCATCCTCGCTACGCCAATGAATTAGATATTGAATCTAAAGTAAATATATAGCACCACTGCTTTTTTCCAGGTCTACAGCCTCTAAATTTGCTTAGTCATCGATTAAGTAATACTGTACTATTTCTCATTTTGTTTTCTTTGCAAGGTAGCTATTATATAATGTATGACAATAAAAGGCATGGTTTATAATATTATTTATAATAATGCGTATAAATTTTTATCTTAAATATAAAATTAATGAAAAATGGAGGCACCGTTGCCGTATAATGGCCGTGCGTTTAAAAATACACCACTTTTACATTGTTCAATGTTCAGTCCATTGATGAGTCACCATGATTTGGTTTGGATGGCCTATCTTCATTCGACTTCATGTGACTATTCAGTTATTAGTTTAAAAGTCAGTGTCACATGCTTGTGGTGGTGTGTTTATACAAGAGAGTGGCACACCCCAGATTTGACGTTTGTTAATAATAATAATAATAATAATAATAATAATAATAATAATAATAATAATAATAATAATAAATAATAATGCATTTATAATGCGCCATCTATCTAGGTAAACCTATTCCGAGGCGCACACAAACATACTAAAAATGGAAAATTAAAAAAAAACAACCTTATCTTGTTCATACAAGACAGGTTACATACCAGATTTGATATGTGGCCATACAAAACAGGTCACACACCAGGTTTGATGTGGGTGTATACAAGACAGGTACACACACGTATTCAGGGGCGGATTTAGGGGGGCGGCCCCGCCCCCCCCCCTTTGGGAGGAAAAAAAAGAAAAAAAGAAGGAAAAAGAAAAAAATGAAAGCCCACAACGCCTCAAATGTTATTTGCGGGCGTCTAGAACACAAACATTTCGCGGGGGCATGCCCCCGGACCCCCTAGGACATTGTTGTCTCGATCGGTCCAAATTTTTTTTTATTTAACACCGAGGGCCGCACCCAAATTTCGATGTTTCCAATGCGCTTCCATAAACCTTCATACACTACTTTTTGACGAGTTTTTGCCCAGTTTTAATATTATACTTTTTTTTTAACAGATAATAGGTGCCTGGCCGAAAAAAACAAGGTTTTTCTAGCCAAAGATGGTTGGCGGGCCGCACACATAGGGTTTTTTAATTCATTTTCGCGTTGCGCAAATAATCACTGCCGGGCATTTGAGAACTAACTAAATTGTAAAGGTTTTTACAATGTTTATCGCTTACCTTTTGACGATTTTGACTCAGTGCACACTTCTGGTAAATGAAGGTATTGTTGAATAAGAGGTTGGGATGGCTCTCCCTTGGACGATGCGTGATAAATTTATCTTGAGTCAACATATATTCTTTGATATATTTGATATGCTCTATTTTTATGTTTACATACCGGTACATGATTGCAAACAGGAGCGGGCTGGGTCTAGTATAGAGTACTACAGTCGTCACAACGCCAAGTGGCGCTCTCTGTTGTCAACAGACGTAGGTTACCGTTCATTACGCCTGAATGACTGCAAGACTTTCTGGAATAGGCATTTCTAAAAAAAGAAAACAAATCAAAGGCAAAATGAAAGTTATAGTATAAAGGAGCGTATTATTTTTCAACTAGGTACTTTGAAACCTCATGGACTGAACGTCTCATTTAAATCTTTTAGAGATTAATTTGTTATTTTATTTATCTTGCTATGATGCATTCTGTGACTATTATACTATGACTTTCATTTTGCCTTTGATTTGTTTTCTTTTTTTAGACCTATGTCATTACACGCCTTCTAGGCGTAGCTGTTTGTATTGTCTTACTATGTTCATTGTTTTACTATGCCGCCAGTACCGCCGTTTAGGCTTTACCGATGCCACCGCTTCTTTTGTATATGTTCTCTATATAACCCTGTTCATTCCACTATCCTATCAGTACCTGATGATGACCTATGGTCGAATGGCGTGGTCGAAAGTACTAGTACAATAAATATTTTATTTTTTAGACAGATACAGAACTTTGTTTGGCTTCTTAATTATATAATACGAATCTATCCATGCAGCAACTTTGATTTGAATGACTTGCAAAGAATTGTGGTCATAAAAGAAGTCAGCTACGGCTAAGAGGGTTTTTAACAATCGTTATGAAAGCCCACTCAGTCAGACCTGGTGTTATTGTCTGGGAACATATATATAGACGGTAAGTACTGTAGGCATTAATTGAAATATTACAATCTGTGGATACACGGAGAGGTAAAAAAAACTCTCACAATTTAGCTTGTAGAATAGGTGTAGGTTTTATAGTTTTGTAAGTTCGTAAAATTCCAACAAGAAAGAGAAAAGTTCGCTCAATTTATGTCAGGTTTGTGTAGTCACTAGCCGAATCGGCAATCAGCTGCCTCGGAATTATGCTATGCATCTCATCTGTATACCTTATGATAATATAAGTACAAGGGCAAAAAATCAGCAATATAATGAATAGAAAACAGTACAAGTATATCAATCTCAACGTAGTGCTTATGTAAGTGTGACCCAGCAAACACAAACATTATAACGATCGCGAATGTCGTGGTTAGGTGGTGTGTCAGAAAATAAAAATATACGGTAACGTGTATACAACATTGTTCAAACTTTATTTAATTGAGAAATTACGTTCTAAAAAGTACTTATGGTGTAAAAAATAACCACGTTAAAATTGTTAACTGGGAAGACAGTTAATGTACAGCAATTGCCTGAGAGATGCAAGCAAATTTCGGCAATGGAATATTTCGAATTAGGGAGCTTTTTATGAAAGTATCCTAATTGTATTCTCTTCATTTCCTTTTTCCTTTATCTTACATTTCTAAGAGTTAAGTGTGAATTTTCATTGATACTTTGTTTGTGTTTCTACTTCTGCCGTTTTTAAATTTTAAGGTTTGAAATTGAGGATACATGCACGTTTTGAAAAAAAAAATCAAATCCAAACTGACTGCAACACTACAAGTAAGGAGAGTCTGACGTTATAAACAGTCATTGAGGTTGTCATCACGACACTGTGCATCATTATAGGAACCTAGTACTAAACATAATAAAGAGACATATCAGAGTTTCGATACCGTAAATTCTTATAAAATTTCCTGGGCTTCAGTGTCGCGCTAATTCCAGCAACAGACAGTTTTCGCCATGACAAGACCTAAGATTGACACAATGCAACAGCCCTCTATTATATTGATTAGTTTCCTCCATATAATTCCTCCATTTATTGTTATTCAGATGACTTACTTTTAACAACAATCATGACGAGTCTCGTTTGAACCCTATCAAAACATATCTATACTGTTTAGTAAACGAAGTATAACGATTGAGCTGGAATTTACAGTTTGAATAGGTCTAGGCGGCCTAATTGTACGTATATTGAATAATACTATCCTTGACTATTAAGGGTGAGATTTGTTTGAAAATGCCAAAATGCATAATTTCTCTTATTATTCTCCTAGGTAAAAAAGGACAAGAGTAAGTGTAGACAAAGTAAGATTGTCTTGTCCAAAGACACTAAAGCAATGGGACGACCGTCAGGTTCAATTTTACGATCCTATATAATATATAGCCCACAGTCTTAATATTGAATATTGACCCTATGCCTGCTCTATGAATTATAGTGAAATGATATTAAATAATATTAATTCGACCGGTTAATGTTAATTAACAATATTAATCTGCAATACTACCTTGTACTTTAACACTGAATACCAATGGAACAGGGACATGTACATTTACCCTAGAAACGTTTTATTTGACATTCACCCTGGTAACTAAGAAGATGGGGAAAGCCCTTGTTCTTCTTTTGTGTCACCAAGAAGCAGTACTTTATGTCAGCAATGTGTCAATGCTTTGATAACATTGGATAATTAATTATTCGTCTTTGTAACTACTGATTTGACTGAGTCCTTATTAGAAAACAACAATTATAATGTTAACCTAATCTCATTTTATGTTAACTTTACTTCATTTATATATTCAAGTTAATGTTTTAGATAAAGAGTTGGCCATATGCGTTGGCCATATGAGTTGGCCAAGTATTCGCTTGGTATATTGTTTTATTTTAAATGCATTTAATAGTTTTAATAAACAGTTTACATTTTGCTTAATATTAGAAATAAATTGAAACCTCAAACTCAATTATTATTATTTAGTCAGTATATTCACTTTAATGTTGTAATGACAGTAAATCAGAGTTTATGAATTACGTTTTTTGAGTTGATTAATTGTTTGCTGAACGTTGTTATCAAATGTATCAATATGTATTTTGATTATATTTTTATCGAGTAGTTTAACTGTATTTTAATTGTTATGTGTAAATTAGGATGTCCAACATATTGTCATATACAATATTGCAAGCTATTTGACTTTATGTAGGCCTATAGGTTTCCCTATAGAGTGATGCCAGCTGGTAAGTTAATAATTTTTAGGTGACGACTTCAATGTTGATGTTTAATTCAGTGCATTTCCTTGTATTTAGGAAATTGGAACATTGAATGAATTATTTTAACTTCTTTTTATCTTATATTTGTGACGTTATTCATATCATACGATATATTATCATAATTTAATTCCATTAAAAGCTACACAGCTTGCTTCTACCACTAAAGTTAATGGTATCAGTTATCATATACAGTAATATGGCCGTATTCGACTGGTCGTTCTTCGTTAAACCACGCCCACCTGCGCAGTGGTAAAATCCTACTTAACGAAGACGACCAGTCGAATAGAAAACTGGTAAAAACAAAATGGCTGCATAGTTACCGCGATACACGCTGCGTAATCAAGGCTGCTTCAGATTGTGCCACTATGGGTTTTTCGTTAAAAAAAAATGTATTCCTCCCGTTTTTGAATTCTGTTAGCCTACAATTATTATTTGACTTCAATGTGGGTAAATGTGTATGTGTGTGTGTGGGTGTGTGTGTGTGCCTTTCTTATGTTTCTAGAAGGGCATATTTTTAAGTGTTTTAGTTTCTTTTTGTTTAATTATAACAGTGAAATTGTAATTTCACTGTTCCCTGATTATATCTATTTATGTATATTTTGTTTAAAGGCAGTTCAGATACGTCATATGCTTTTTTTTTTTTGCTGTACCTTGTCCACAATGACTGAATAAATGTTAAATTCAATTAAATGTTAAAATGTTAAATTAAACGTTCCGTCTGTAACACAGGTTCCGTTTAACTCGTAACACAGGTTGGTGGGCCAGGGATGGCGCCAGGAATTCCCCGACGAGGGGTCTAAGCTCCCCGACGAGGGGTCTAAGCTCCCCAACAAGGGGTCCAGGATCGAGAAAGCCTAGCCCCACACCCCCCACCCACCCCCTCCCTTTTCGGGGAAAATTAATTTGTCGGGGAGTAATTAAATTTGTCGGAGAATTTTCTTTCTTTCTTAATTAAAAGATAATAAAATTTTGTGTTATTATTATGGGATTCTGTATTTAAAAAGGATATCGGGGTACTAGCCCACCTGTGCCAGAGTTGCCGGACAGGGGTCAAAGGTCTCCGATGGTAGACCGATGTCCCCGACTAAGAAAAGTAGCCGTGGTCAGGCGTCGCTCAAAGTCTATCGAAAGTGTTGCATGGGCGAAGCCTCCACCAAAAAAAAAAAAAAAAAAAAAATGAAAATTCGGGGGTTTCAAAGGCTTATTTAATCGATTTTGGAGTCTACTAATATGTAGAAAATACGTATATTTTTTTTCTTCCCGACAAATTGTGTTTTTTCTCCCCGACGGGGGTGGAAATAGCTATCCCCAACGGAGGGTTCTAGCCCCCGGCCCCCGCTGGCACCACCCCTGTCTCTCATGCTTCATAGGCACTTGCTACCCAAACCATCATAAAAGTTCCAGGAAGAATAAGTCTAATAAATAATAAATGAACAGACTCTTAGAATTCCTTTGAATTCAGTTGTATGAAAAAGTGTCCCTGGCGGGATCAGAATATGTAACCTTTCGCTATCAAGGCTATTGTCATAGCCATTAGACAACTTTTGGTTATACTTTCTTTCATACAACACTGACTGAAACGTTCACACATGCTTCAGTTATTGATAAGCTAGAAAAGCTTATAGGTCGCAGCTAGGAAGTCATAGTAAATTATTTTCAAATTAGGTATGCTGCGGTATGGACCATTGTCCTTTGTATGTTGTACCTACGTAAACGTAAACATTTTCATACAACTGAAAGGGGAACTTTATGTTGAAGGGCTATGCTTGATACGATTATAATATATTTGTTCCTATCTAAGCACTGTTATTATTATATATCTATTTGTATGTAATATAAATAATATTGTTATAATATATAATTATATTATTCATTATTATTATTGTTGTTATCTTTAATATCATAATAATTATTTTAATTTTTACTTGCAGACGATGTCGGCAACTGGGCAAAAATTAGATATCAAATATGATTCCATCCCAGATATCGTCGATGATGACGGAGTAAACGATTCACAAAGCCGCGTACACTGCACCCCCAGTGCACATTCTCTGTCACCAAAAAACGATAATGACGATACGGATTGTTTTATTCACTGCTGTAATCGTGTCAGTAACCCAGTGGCATTTTTATCCGTGATAATTCCTTTGTTTTCCATCTATATGGGAACGTTAACTTATTTAGGTGGCTGTATAAGTACCATTGAGAAGCAATTCCAACTTTCAAGTTCTCAATCTGGATCAATTGCGACTATAAACGACATAGTGAGCTTATCTTTAGTTGTATTCGTCACATACTACGGCTCAAAATCTCACCGTCCGCGCCTAATCAGCGTTAGTATTGTCATCGCCGGCATCGGAATTTTTCTTCTAGCTGTGCCGCATTTTACCGCCAATCCCAGCGTATATAGACCTACTGAAAATAGCGACTTGAAGGTTAACCATACTGACGAATCTGACCACTTGATGACCAACAATGAGTTATGTTCTGTGGGTGATGTGATCGAGGACCGATGTGCATCTGGTGAAATTACTGAAGAACAGCCCTTAAATGTGTTCTGGTTAATAATTGGTCAGATATTGATCGGCATTGGAGGCGCGCCAATGTTTCCGTTGACCATCACTTATCTGGACGACTCGACAGTAGATTCCACGACAACCTCAATATACATTGGTAGGCTATTGTATTTTACTATTTATTCATTCTTTCATTCAATCATCCATCCATTTATTCATTTATCCATTCATTCATTCATTCATTCATTTAATAATTCATTAATTCACTCACTTAAAATTCATTCATTCATTTATTAATTCATTCATTCATTAAGTAGGTAGTGTTATACATTTTTGTTGTATATATTATTTAATCTTTGCATGATCATATTGTAAAACAGCGTTCTCATTTCAACTGTATACGTTATCATGCCTAAATATTTTTTAATAGATTGTTGCTCATTCATTCATTCATTCATTCATTCATTTCTTCATCCATTCATCATTCGTTCATTAATTTATTATTTATCCATTCATTCATTCATTTATTCATTCATTCATTCATTCATTCATTCATTCATTCATTCTTTCATTCATTCATTCATTCATGCATTCATTTATTTATTTATTCATTCATTCATTTATTCACTCACTCACTTTCATTCATTCAATTATTTATGGATTCATTTATTTTTTCCGTTATTCATTGATAAACGTTTTTATTCATTCATTTCCATGTTTACATATTTTATTGACATTCAGTATTTTGTAAATTTCAGCTGGAATATTCGTCGCTATGGGATTGGGTCCTTTCATAGGATTCATGGCGAGTTTCCAATGTCTTTCTCTGTACGTGGATTTCGATCGAGTAGATGGAGAAAACATTCCGACTGATCCTCGTGACCCTCGTTGGATAGGGGCTTGGTGGCTTGGATTTGTCTTGGCCGCTGTGCTAATAGTGGTCCTATCTATTCCCTTGTTTTTCTTTCCTCGAAATTTAAAGAAATACGAATGTACATGTTGTGGTGAAAGATCGAAGAATACAGAGCAAGAGGAAGAAAAATTCAGTATTGCCGCTGTATACAAAACAGATTTTATGAAAGATAAAAAAAATGGTATTTTGGCCAGTCTGAAAGGTATACAATAAATTTTGTTTCAAGATTCATTTCTAATTAGATTGTCACGTGGCAATTTCTGTGTCTCTTGCAACAAGACAGGACAATTTAATATTGTCCCACAAAGCATTGTTTGATGATATTGATTTAACATAGATTAAAAAGCTGCTATAGCTATTAGGCAGTAGAAATGATAAACTACGAATTAGCATTGCAAAAAAAAAGTTTCATTGAAAATAATGGTGGTTTAATAATATTATATCATGTGATTTCAAATAAACTTTTTCAAATCAAACTAAATATATTATAATATGATATGCCGTATAATAATCAGAAAGGCCTTATGTTGGATTAATTTTACTTAATTTTTCATAGGACTTTTACTAGCGTTGAAGAGGTTACTGACCAACCCAACACTAATATTTTTAACCATGACTGTTGCATGTAACCTAGCGATCGTCAGTGGATTTGCGTTTTTCATTGCTAAGTACGTAGAGAAGCAGTATGCAGTCTCGGCAGCTACAGCGTCCATTGTTATTGGTTTGTTAAAACAGATATTTTATAATAATAATAATAATAATAATAATAATAATAATAATAATAATAATAGTAGTAGTAATAATAATAATAATAATAATAATAATAATAATAATAATAATAATAATAATAATAATAATAATAATAATAATAATAATAATAATAATAATAATAAATGTGGAAAAGAACTTTTAATCCATGTCGGTAATGTTTAAAAATACATTATACACTTTTAATTGCAAGGATTGGCAAAATTCCGAGGGAAAGTCCCCACTGGCGAGTTGGTAAATCATACGCAACTGAGATCTTCATGGCCAATGTGGGCTTGTTCCGTCCCAATATATACACTATATTTTCTTCTTATAAATCATATACAAACAAAACATTAGTTACATTATGATTTTTGCGATATGTGCTTTGATATTTTGCAACCAATTTGTATTAAATTAAGATTATTATTAGATTAAGTTAATGAATCCATTTTAGCTTGTTATTGATGTGCTGAGAATCTTAATAATCTAGAGGTTATAAGGATAAGAGACAGAAATTGTCCAGATAATGCATGAATGCATGCCTCTCAACTCAAGATATGTTTTAATTTCTTACAGGTGGAATAAACTTACCAGGAACTGTATTTAGTAATGTGCTGAGTAGCTTCTGTGTAAAGAAATTCAACTTAACTCAATTCGGGCTTGGCAGAATGCTGGTAGCCATTGCTACTTGTTCATTTCTTTTTTCCATTCCTCTATTATTTATTGGATGCTCCAATCCAGGGATTGCTGGTGTTACAACACATTACAATACTTCATTTAACCAAGGGCAAGGGTGAGTGTAATTTTAAATGTTTGAATCAACAATCCCATTCATTTCAAACATAAAACAGATTCATATATGTAATAAATAGACTTTACAATTTTAAATGTAAACGGAACCTAAAACAAAGGAATGTTTTAGGTTCCGTTGATGTTTGGTGATTTAAAAATATGATTAAATTAATTATTATCAATTAAACTTATTGAAAGTTATCTATCGTTATTTATTTATTTATTTATTTATTTATTTATTTATTTATTTATTCATTCATTCATTCATTCATTCATTCATTCATTCATTCATTCATTCATTCATTCATTCATTCATTCATTCATTCATTCATTCATTTATTTATTTATTTATTTATTTATTTATTTATTTATTTATTTATTTATTTATTTATTTATTTATTTATTTATTTATTTACCCAGGGTGGCCCAAACAGTTAAATCACTGATTTCCATTTGGGCCTGCATTTAAAGCACATGGTCGTAACCGGTTATATTTTCTTAATTAGTATATATATATATATATATATGTTTTTTTGTTTGTTTATTATTTATTTATTATTATAACATCATTATTATAACATGAAAAACAAAAAAAATCAAGTACATAAATACACAAAAATGAGAGCAAGAGGATAACCCTATAAGCTCTATGAGCTTGTTTCCATAGGGGTCTTCGACCAATAAAAATAGAAGCAAATATTAAAAAAAAAAAAATAATAATGTTTTTATTAAATGTTTTTTAAGTAAATATTTAAATGTATTAAAGTTTTCAATTTCCTTTAAACAATTTTGCAATTCATTCCTATAATATAGGCCTATGATTATTATTTATTAAAAACTCATCACTGTTATTACCGTATCTATCAGGTTGTTACCAAACTTAATCTACTCCTGCAATTCCAACTGCGCATGCCCAGATAACGTTTATAAACCTGTGTGTGGTTCTGACGGAATCACGTACAGTAGTGCGTGCCATGCTGGATGTACAGATGTATGGAGAGAAGGTATGGGGAATCTGGATGAAGTAGGCTTATCAAACAACGAAACGGTAACTAACTGAACAATTTAAGTCATACTGTAAAATTGTTACATAATAAGTATAATAATTTTATGGGTGTCCTGTTATCTATTTTGCTCCCACTTGACAACAAATTTCAGAGATTTTGCATTGCTGAGTTTTCATTTTTTTTGTTTTTTGTTTTTACAATGGGAAAATTAGAAGTCGAGATTCATTGAATCGTTTTCAAGAAAGGGAAAACCTAAACTTTTAATGACTGAATAAAGTCATTAAAAGACACCTCAGAAATCGGAAAAGCTCATGACCCTCCGTTCTCTTTGGGGTTCATCCATTCATGAAAAAAAGAATACGTATGCAGCAACTACTCAATTATTTTTATGTATAGGCTTGTCACGCCAAAATTGGTAAGGGGCTAACCTAACCGTTTTCAAGAGGGGAAAACCTTGAATTTTGAAGTACTTAAAAGACACCTCAGAAGTCACAAAATTTTTCTGGACCCCCCCCCCTCCCTTTCTTTTTTGGTTTTTTTAGAAACATCCTGACTCCCTCCTAAATGTGAACCCAGATCTGCCCCTGTTAAAATGTAAATGGACCGTTCCAATTGCCCCACCTCAGTCGATAAAAATATAAAAGGAAATAGGGATTTGGGATTCGAAGAAATCTATTTTGCTTTTGTAAATTTCTAATAAAGTAAATAACCTAACAATAACTATTATGGGTGTTTCTAAAGATTTATGTTGGATGCAGCTGTATAACCACTGGGGATGAATGGGAAACTACAGACGGATTGATTGAAGGAGGATCTGGCACCGAAGGATCATGTGACTGGACATGTGACAAACTTCTTCCGTTTGCCTTGATTGTGGCTGTAATATCGGTCTGTGCTTCTATGAAACCAAATCCGGGAATAATGCTACTGTTGAGGTGATTATATTTTATTAACGTTAAACCTTGGTATTGAATTTATTTCTTAGATTCACAATAGACATTAAGTATAGGGCTATATTCGCCAAAGGATGGAATTACAGTAACTCTGTGATCTCTACAAACGTCAACAGAGTTCAGCTTTCACATAGATAGTAAAAATAATTATTCCAACCTTTAATGTACTACCGTACTGTAAAGATCAGAGGTGATTCGTGAGGGGAGGGATCGAACCCATGAATTCCAGATAACTAGTCATAACTGTATCATATCCACAAAACCATTGGGCTTGCGCTTAATGGCTGTTCAATGAGATCCCCAAGAGACAGTGAGTACTGCAATGCTATTATACTAGATTATCAGTAGTGGCGTAACAAATAGGCCTGAGGCCACTGATTGGCTAAAGTTTATTCGGGCGCCCTAATACCATGGGACCACATAGGGCCCAGAAGTGTACGGTGCAACGTTGCTCTGGCAAAAGAAATGCCAATATCCTGGAAGGTCCACGCTTATAGCCAGTGAGAACTCATAATTGTCACGCCACTGAATCCAACAATACAAAAAGAAAGTAGCACCAAAGTAAGTTTCAACGTACGGTAATACAATATTCATGTATGCATCCTTATGATATTAATTATTTATCTTTGTTTTTACAGATGTGTTGAACCAAGTGACCGTGCTCTCGCACTTGCGGTTGGCGGCGTTGTAATAAGAGTGCTTGGTACGCACTATATTATGATCACTTCCAATTCAAAAAAATAAGTAAACGGTTAAATGGGGACAAATTCAAAAACAATGGACAAAGATGTACAATAGATGTACACACTCTCTCTCTCTCTCTCTCGTACTCTAACCTTAAATAGGGTGAAATAGCTTTTCAAGCAATTTCATTTATTGTATATATTCATCTTTGTGTCGAATTGGTAATAAATAAGTAAAATAAATTTATATACCATTGGTTAATAATAACTTTACAAATTGCACAATTCATCGTGTCAAGTCCCCTTTATTTAAATTATTATTGACGAAGAGATACTTTATTATGAGAAATGTGAATAGATTTATAGTGATACTTACTCGACTTCTTAAACGACAAGACGAGATCTCCGAAGAGATACTTTTATTATAAGAAATGTAACACGTGAAGAAATAAACTGTGAAATATTTAACAGTAATGCTTCATATTAAAGTGTGTGCGTCAAATACTTTCTAGTGCTGTATGGGCATACCGTAGTGCTAGATGGATCGGATTCGAACTTTCAACGAAAGTCCAATGGCCTAGTTGGTTAAGAAGTTTACATAGATAGCAAAAGCTCCCGGGTTCAAATCCCGGTTGAGGCAGTTTTTCGCACTCCCAGATTCCTCTTCTTTACCGTTTAAAATTTATTCACG